AAACCAAAGGGCTGTAAATAAGGATGTCCAGATGGAATTCGCCAGTTTTGATTTGCTCTGGCAAAGGAAGGAAGGCAGAGAATCAGCAACCTGATTGAGGTTATGAAAGGCTTTTATATAAACCTGTTTATTTAATCTTTTAATCCTCTGGGAAGAAATGGGGCATAATGAAGCCTAATTATAGACTAATCATAGAATAATAGAATGTTTGAGCTGGAGCCTAAATGACATAAGATAAATCTAGAAAGTTCCCTCCTAGTAGGCTTAAGGACTCTCAGGCGTTGAAATTTCATGACTATGGTTTCAAATGAGCACTAGAGAAAGGCTGGTTCACTCCATCAAGATTTAAAAGGTCAACGGGGAAGGGATGTGTTGAGTTACTTTAAACCAGCTCTCAAGAGTCAATTGTTAAATTGTCAGAGGGAACGTTTTCAACTCAGAAATCCACAAACACTACAAATTAGCACCTGGTTCATTGTTTTGTTGGTTGTCTAGACTTAATCATTATTATAATAATAACTAGCACTTATATAGCTCCTACTGTGTCTGGGGCACTGTACTAAGCAAGTCATAAATATTATCTCATTGGAGCTTCACAAGAACCCTGGGGAATAGGGGCTAGTATTGTCCTGCTTTTACAGATGAAAAAATAGACATAGACAGAGAACTTGCCCAGGGTCACCCCACCAGGAAGTGTCTGAGGCTGGATTTGAACTGGGATGTTCTTGACTCCAAGCCCAATGACCACACCACCTAGCTGTCCCCACATTCTAATAGAGGGAGACAATGTGTAAAGGAGAGTTTGACTGCAGGACCGACTAAATTCCATTCCTAAGGTGGCCCAGCAGATTGCAAGGGCAAATGTTTTGCCGTCTTACTGCCCCTCCCCCCCCCAAAAAACTGGAGTTAATTACTGCTCCTTGTTCATCAAAACAATTTGAGTGAGTGTCCTGGAGCAGCCTCATCTCTGACCATTGGGAAGGGGAGAGCCTGGTGTGATATGAGCAGAAGGAAGGCTAGGCAATTGAAGAAGGGCTTTAGGTAATTAGGCGATGCAATGGTGAGAATAGTCAGGAAGTATTGAGCTCAAATCCTGCTTATTAGTTGTGTGACCTGTGTAAGTCACTAAACCTCCAGCTGCCTCATTTTCTCTATCAGTAAAATAGGAATAATAATAACATCTACCCCCTAAGGTTGTTGTTTGGATAAAATGATATAACATTTGTGTAGTGCTTCACAAACCCAAAAGCACTATGTAAATTCTAAGCATCTTTATCATTAGTCTTAGTGGATCTGTCTGGCTCCACCCTCTGGTGTCCCATCAGGAGTGCAGAGACAGTGAGCTGGGGCTCCACCGAAACTATCATTTTTTCATGGGACAATACCACTCCATCACATTCTTTCAATTTTCTTTTAATTTAGTAGTTTTCCCACAAGAGAACCCAGGCTTTCCCTACAGTGGTGGAGCATTGATTTCCTGCTTATCCGTCTCTCTGTCTGACAACAGATCTCAATTATTGGCCATGTTTTGTCTCCAGACACAGAAACTGTGGGCAGTAATTGAAAGGGAGTGTAGGCAGTTCTAACGGATTTGGAGAGCCAGAAAGTTGATCAAGACCAAGTACAATGGCACTGACAAGAGAGAGCCTGGAAGTGAAGAAATTCTGGATTCCACCCATGGTTTTGTTTCATTTTTACACTCCCAAACTCTGGGGAAAATATTCGAGTCAGAATGTTCCTTCCTGTAATCCATGCCTGTTAATCTCCTGCTCCTGCCCTGGTGTCTTCATGTGGTTTGTTCAACACCCCACAAATAACACCTAAACTTCCTGCCCACCAAGACTGGTGAAACAGACTCATGAGGGTATGGAGGTGGCGAGGTGGCAGGGAGCCGAGATGACAAACATGCCTTGGACCTCCATCTCCTGCAGCAAGGAAAGAGCACGGGAACTTAGAAAGACATTCTGAAATCTGACAGCTCCAAGTTTACTTGGTATAAACAAATTTGGTTCTGGTGAAAGAAAAACAACAGCAACAATGGTGAAAATGGTACAAGGCCCCTCAATGTCCTCAGTTTCCTCCTCTGTAAGATTAGGGAGTTGGACTAGAAGCCTTTGGGGTCCCTTCTGCCTCCAGACCCACGAACTCTTCTGGACTTAGTGCTGGCTTTGTGGAATTTCTAGTAAGTTCTTTTTAGAAGGAAAATAATTCTCATACGTTCATCCCCAACCAACTGGGAGGAACAGGAAGTGGGGGAGATGACTCACTGAGTAACTCTCTTCCTTCTATCAGCTCTGACTGAAGCCCCTCAATGAATAGGAAGAAATTCAGAGCTGAGAACTGAGTATCTATAGATGCCCTCCTTTGGATGAGGCAAAAAGAGATATATGCTTACTTATCTTTCTTCATCAATGCTTCCATATTATTCTTTAGAAGGACTGAGGAAATTAATCCAGTTATCATACAAGGATCACGTGCACACACACACACACACACACACACACACTACCTCCTTTATCTGGCATGGTTGGGAAGAGGAGCATTCCAGATAAGCAGGTTTTCTAGATGGCTGGCTTACCCCCTTCTCTTCCGTGTTTTTCCTCATTCTCTTTTGTGTTAACCTGTTTAGATGGAAATCTTTCGAGGAGTATCTTACACACTTTCCGCCTTCATAAACAGAGACTACTCCAACCTGTCAGTGGAGGTTTGGCTTCACCCTTGTGATGGTTTCCTTGGAAACCCATCCCTGCTCTCTTCCCATGGGGATTCTTGTCTCAGTGTTTTCTCATATATCCTCCAAAAGTAATCTCCTGTATGTCTTTCTCTAGGCTGATTAATATTTAGTGGCTTCCAGTGTGATGTACCTATCCAGTCAATTTTGTCTTCGAATCCTCGCTACTTAGCCTAGCACCTGACTCAGGAGCAGGGTCATTGATTTAGAGCAGGAAATGACCTGAGGGGTCATCTGGTCCAATCTCTTCATTTTACAGATGAGGAAACTGAGGCTTAGCAAAGTTACATGGCTTAGGCGGAAAGAAACTTTAGAGGCAATATAGTCTAATCTTTTTGCTTTACAGATGAGGAAACAGTCTCAGAGAAGAAAAGTGTCTGGTCCAAGGACACATGTGTAATAAATATCAGTGACAGGATTTAAACCTAGGTCTTTAACTCCAAATCCATTATTCTTTGAACTGTGCTATCTTCAATAATAAGTTACTATTGAGCACCTACTATGTGCCAGGCACTATATTAGGTGCTGGGGAATGGAAAGGAATGGAAATGGAGTGTGGGGGAAGAGAAGGGAACACACATTTATTAAGGATCTACTGAATGCCAGGCATTGTACTCAGTGCTTTACAAATATTATCTTATTTGAGCTTTACAACCACCATGGAGGTGGGTGCAGTCATTACCCCCACTCTCTTTTCTCTAGGGATCTCTCTGTCTCTCTCCCTCCCTCCCTCCCTTTCTCTCTCTCTCTCTCTCCCCCTCTCTCCCTCCTGGTTCTCCTCCTCCCTCTGACTGCTCCTTCTCTCTCTCTTTTGCTGGGTCCTCTTCTAGATCATGCCCTCCAACCAGAGATGTCCCTCACGGTCCTGTCCCGGGTCTTCTTCTCTTTTCCCTCTATTCTACTTCACCTGGGGATCTCATCAGTTCCCCTGGATTTAATGACCATCTCTGTGCTGAAGATTCTCAGATCTACCTCTCCTGCCCCTATCTCTCCGCTGACCTCCAGACTCGCATCTCCAGCTGCCTTTCAGACACTTTGAATTGGATGTGCAGTAACATCTTGGACTCCACATGTCCAAAAGGGAACTCATCCTCTTTTCTCTTCAAGTCTTTCCCCTTCCAGACTTCCTTATCACTGTCAAAGGCCACTCCCTCCTCCCAGTTCCCCAGGTTAATGAACCAGGAGTCTTCCTGGACTCCTCACTCTCTCTCAGCCCTATATCCGATATGGAGCCAAGAGCTGTGATTTCACCTCTGCAGCATCTCTCCCTCCTCAGTTCCTGCCACCACCCCAGTGCAGACCCTCCTTGCCTCGCACCGGAACTATGGCAGCAGTCGCTGGGGCATCTGCCCGCCTCTTTTCTCTCTACTCCAATCCATCTTCCATTCAACCACCAAAGCAATCTTCCCAAAGCTGGAATCTGCTCCTACAGACCCAGGACAACTAATTCCTGAATTTCAAAGTGAGCATTTGCACCATGGAAATTGGCAAACACTCCAGGATATCAAGCCTCGATTTCCTATTTTGTCTAGGCCAGAGGTGTCAAATGCACTGCCTCCACAGCTTGTGGCCCCCCGCCCTCCCAAATGTAGCCAGAACCAGATTAAAATGTAACTGGGCAATATTTAACAAAATAAATAAAAGTACAACAAGACACAGATAACACATGTAAAAACTAAGGGAATGCTGCACCCGCGGGGATCCATATGTACAGATTAGTTACCCCTTTTCTATTTGAATTGGACATCCTAGTCTAGACCTAAGAAGTATCATAATAAGATTAAACCTTAAAACTAGTCGTCCTAATTGTTAAATATTCAACAGCAGCGTGCTGCTTCTAACCTAGTGAGGCAGGCACCATGGGTCTTATTATTCCCATTTTATTGATGAAGAAACTGAACCTCAGAAAGGCTTAGTATCTCGCTGGGGTCACTCAAATCATGTCAAAGCCAGGATTCAAACACAGACTTTCCTGCCTCCAAATCCAGCCTTCCCTAATAAGTTATAATTATTTGCCTAAGGTGCAAGTTGACTCAAAATTTCCTATTTCAGACCCTGATGGTTTTGGGGAAGGTGGAGGAGAAATAAAGGTCAAGCCCATTGCCTCCTTCTTGGGGGGGGGTCGCCCAATAGCCTGGAACCACACCACAAGAAAGGTCCTGACGAAGCAAACGTCACTTGAAGAGATCTGGACTTTCCCAGAACATGACACAGTCTGAGCCAGTCATCTCAAGCCGGACAGTGACAGTTCCTCTCGAAGCAGCCCAGATGTAGGTCAAGCCTCTGCTGCCTTTTCCATTTGCTTCAGGGCTCTGTTCTGAGAGGAGCTTCGTGAAGAGGTAAGGGAGCAGAGGTCCTGGGGCCTGAAAAGGGAGGCTGTGGTCACCTGGTCAGTACCTTTCTTCTCTCTGGGTTCTTTAATCCTTCACTTTGGGCTTATGGAAGTGCGATCAATAAAAATACCCTGGGCAGCATGGGAAAAAGTAATTTCCTCCCTTCCCCTCCTTTTCCCCTCTCCTCTCTCCCCTATTTTCCTCTCCTCCCTTCTCTCTTCCTCTCCTTTCCTCTTCTTTCTTCTCCCCTCTCCTCCCCTTCCTTCTCCTCTCATCTTCTCCTTACCCCTCTTCTCCCCTCTCTCGTTCTCTAATTTCCTCCCCTCTCTTCTCCTCTCTTCTTCCCTCTTTCTTTCTCTAATCCTCTCCTCTCCCCTCCTCTTTTCACCTCTCCTCTCCTTCCCTCCCTTCCCATCTCCTTTCTTCTCCTCTTTCCTTCTTTCTTCTTCCCTTTCTCTTTCTCTCTTTTCTTCTCCTCTCCTCTCTCCCATGTTTTCTTCTCCTCCCTTCTCTTTTCCTCTCCTCTCCTCTCCTTTTCTCTTCTCTTTCCTCCTCTTCCTTTTCCTCTCACCTCTTCTCCTTATCCTTTTTCTCCCCTCTCTCTTTCTCTAATTCCCTCCCCTCTCTTTTTCTCTCCTCTCCTCCCCTTCCTTCCCCTCTCAGCTCTCTCCTCACCTCTTTGCTCCCCTCTCTTGTTCTCTAATTTCCTCCCCTCTCTTCTCTTCTCCCCTGTCTCTTTCTCTCCTGTCTTCTCCTCTACTACCTCCCTTGTCTTCTTCTCCTCCCTTCTGTCTTTCTCTCCTTTCCTCTTCTCCTCTCCTCACCCCTCTTCTCCCCTCTCTCTTTCTCTAATCTCCTTTTCTCTCTTCTCTTCTCTTCTCCTCTCCTCTCCTTTCCTCTCTTTTCTTCTCCTCTCCTCTCCTCTCCTTTCCTCTTTCTTTCTTCTCCTCTCCTCTCCTCTCTTTTCCTTGTCTTTCTCTTTGTCTTTTCTTTCTGTCCCTTGCCTTACTTTTATTTCCTTCTATTTTCTTATCTCCTCCCTCCTCTGTCTTCTTTTCTTTTATCTTCTGTTAGCTTCTAAGAAATTTGTGCAGAAAAGAAAGAACACGATTAACAAGATATTGTGGGAAGCTCACTGGACAAAAAGTCAGAGGTCCAAGGGTGCACATCCCACTCGTGGCACCTCCTGCCTGTGTGACCTGGGACAAGTCATGACCCTCCCTGGGTATCAGTTCCTCACCCACCCAATGAAGGGGTTGAACACAGTGGTTTCTGAGGCTCCTTTCAACTGTAGAGCAATGAGCCCAGGTGCCCACTAATAATAGCGGGAATGATCATAACAGAGAGAGCTTCGATAGATTTCTGACTCATTTCTTAACTCAGACTCAACAGCGTCGTGAGCTTGGAGACTTCACTTTCTCTGCCCAAGTCAGATCAAAGTCAGAGGTCTGGTGACATCACTGTGCCTGGTCACACAGCCAGGACAGACTTGGCCAGAGCTGCAGCATAGTGATTGAGTCATGGCTAAGGAAATCACATGGAGTCCTCCGTCTAACATGACGGGCAGGAAGGTTGTCTTCATTTTGTTTTTTGTGCTTTCCCTGAGGTGCTGATTCTTTTTCCATTTATATGAGAGGCAGACCAGTAGAGTGGATAAAGAGTCAGCCTCTGAGCAGGGAGAGCTGGGTTGAGTTCTACCTTGGACGTACACTGATTCTGGGCAAATCGCTTAGCCTCAGTGCCCTAGGAAGATCACAGAAAAACAGCTACAGACCTTCACTGGAGGACAGGGTTTCCCCAATGGGAGTTCCCTAAATAATTTTTTTTAAAAAAAATGCTAGCATTTATATAGCACTTTAAGGTTTGTGAAGAGCTTTATGAATATTTTCTCACGAGAACCTCACAACAACCCTGCCAGGTAGATGATATTATTATCTTCCTTTCACAGATGTGGAAACTGAGGCTGAGATGTGTTAAATGACTTGCCCCGGATCACACAGCTATAAGTATCTGAAGCAGAATTTGAATTCAGGTCTTCCTGACTCAAAGTCCCCCAACTATTAATTAAATCCTAGGACTGGTCTTAAAAATATTAATAAGTGTTTCACTACAGGTAGCAGTGATTTACTAATAAAATCAGTAGCCTCTAAGCCAGATCTGAGTTTGAATGCTATGCAGCCAGCCAAGTGGTACAATGGATAGAGTGCCAGACTCGCGATCAGAAAGACCTGAGTTCAAATCTAGCCTCAGACACATACTAGCTGTGTCACTTACATTCTTTCAGCCTGTTTCCTCCTCTCTAAAATGCAAAATAATAACCTCTCAGAGTTGTTGTAAGGATGAAATGAGTTAATACTTGTAAATTTGCTTCTAGATATTGTTATTGTTACTACTACAGTCTCTTGCATTTCCTTGCTGTGCGACTCTGGGCAAGTCATTTCACCTCTGTTTGCCTCAATTTCCTTATCTGTAAAATGGAAATAATAATAGCCCCTACCTCCTGGGGTTCTTGTAAGGATCAAATAAGATAATATTGGTAAATTTGCTTTTCTGACTTTAAAAAGCTAAAGACCTGTTAGATATCATCATCATCATCATCATCATCATCATCATCATCATCACCTCTTGTGTTTACTAGCTGTGTGAACCTCAGAAAGTACTTAAGCTCCCCAAGGTTCAGCTTTTTCATCTGTAAAATGGGAAGAATGATACTTGTGGCCTCTACCTCAAAAAGTTGTTGCAAGAATCCAGTGAAAACATGGATGTGTGAATTGATTTGTCAGCCTCAAACTGCTGCACAAAGGTCATCCACTATTAATAACAATAATTCTGTCCCAGTTCCCTAAAGATGTCCTCTCTTTGGGGTTTCAGAAATTCTAGGCTCCTGCACAGCCTTACAGCCTTGCGCCACTCCAGTGATTCTGTGCCATATGTTGTAGAGGGCATACCTTCTTGGATTGGACAAGATGGCCCCTTCCAGCTCTAAGATGCTGGGCTTCTGGGATACTTCCTAATGCCAATCACTCCACTTATCTTTCCTCACTCTATCTGATCAACTGATCAATGGGAATTTAGTGACCACTGTTAGGAACCAAGCGGGATGCTGGGTACTGGTGCTATAGAGGCAAAACCAAGACAGTTCCTGCTCTCAGGGAGCTTTCATTCTACCTTGGGGGGAAGAGGGACAACATGAAAGCATATAAGCCAATGCAAAATACACCCTGGGACAGCTAAGTGGTGCAATAGACAGAGTGCTTGATTCAGAGTTAGCAAAGTCTGATTACAAAGCCTGCCTCAGGCATTCACTAACTGGGTGACTGTGGGTGAGTCATTTCGTGTCCTTCAGCCTCAGTGTCCTCATCAGTCAAATAGGACTAATAATAGCACCTATGCCCAGGGCTGTTGTAGCCATCAAATGAGCCAACATGTGCCAGGTGCTTTGTGGAATGTAACGCTTTATAGCATTTCTATAAATGCTAGCTATTCTTATCAAATAAAAAAGTAATTTTGGAGAGAAGGGCTCTAGAACAAGAAGGGTCTCATGTTGGAGGCAACGCTGGACCTGAACCTATGTATGTACATTTTGTTGTGTCAATAGAATATAAACTCCTTGAGGGCAGGACCAATTTTGGTTTTGCCTTTGTATCTCCAGCAGTGAGGACAGTGCCTGATACAGAACAGGCCCTTAATGTTTGCTTACTGATTGATTGATGGAGCTGAAGAAAGTGGTGGAGGTGAGAAGGGAGGGCATTCCAGGCAGGAGGGACAGCCTGGGCAAAGACAAGGAGATGGGGGTTTGTATACAAAGAACAACAAGCTGGCCAGATTCGAATGGGATAGAGATAGGGAGTAGCCTCTCTTTTCATCTGTTTAGGGTACTTCTGGGTGAGGAAACTCATCACTGTCTTCTCTGCAATTTAGAATTTTAGGGAGTTTCCTGGAACACAGAATGGTTTGAGCGACTTGCCCAGAGCAAATCTCCGTGTGGACACAAGTCAGTGCCTTCTCCACTACTTACCACCTCCGAGGGTTGCCAGGATCTGGGGATGTAAAGATAATTGTCCCTACCCTCGAAGGAATCGACATTCTACTTGTCGGGGTGGAACACAGAGCATTCACAGACACAGACCCAAGAAGTAAAAAGTACTTTTGATGATTATGTGAGGATCACTAACAACTTTTAGGTGCTCAGGAAAGAGCTCTTGAAAGAAGTGGTCCCTGGGCTGAGACTTGGAGCCAAGGAGGGCTTCTAAGCAGGAATTCTCCTCATTCCCTGCCCCACCAACCTCCTGGATTTCATAATCTCCAGAAACTCATCACACTGCAAGACAACATCATCTCTTAGGCTCATACCCCCTCAGCCCTCCCTGCTCCAAAGTCACAGAGGGTAGAGGTGGACATCTGGGAAACCCCCCACCCCAGACCTTCTGTGGGAGGAGGGCAAGCAGGGAATTCGGCTCCTCATTTCCCACCCCGCTGATCTCCTGGATTTCATGATTTCCAGAAACTCATTATTCTGCAAGATGAATTCAACTCTATAACTCACACCTACCCAAGGCTGTAGGACTCCATCACTCTCTTGCACAGGGTATCCTCTCTCCCCATTCCCCACCCCTTTTCAGCATCTTTTTATAAGTTATCTTCCCTGTTAGACTGGGAGCTCCCTGAGGGCAGGAACTGTCTGAAGACTTTCTTTGTATTCCCAGTACTTTGCACGGTGTCTGGAACACAGCAGGCACTTAATAAATGCTCTAACTCAGAACAATTGATTAAACTACTGTGCTTTAGGAGAATATAAAAGCTTTCATTTCTTTTTCAGGAGAGAATTCATGGCGTCTTACCACTTTCCGACATGAGAAAAGCCCTCAGCCAATGGGAAGTAGTGATAGCACTTTGTGTACTTGTCGAGTGGAGTTCTGGAGGTATTCTGCTTCAGCTGTTTGTCTTTATTAGGGGGTGAAAAGAGTGTAATGAAATCCCAAAGTTCAAGCTGATCATCTAGCCCAGCCTGCTGCCAAAGCCAGGAATCCCTGCTGCAATAACTTTGGAAGATGGATTTCAGACAGTGTGGCCCAGTGGCAAAAGCACTTGAGTTCAAATCCTGCTTTTGATATTTACTACTTGTGTAACTTGAAGCAACTCACTTCATTTCACTGGGCCTCAGTTTCCTCATCTGTAAAATGGGCAGGGTGGACTCTGGAGTCTCTTCCAGCTTTTTCTTTCCTTCTCCAGCTCATTTTACAGATAAGGAAACTGAGGCAGACAGGATTGAGTGACTTGCCCAGGGTCACACAGCCAGCAAGTGTCTGAGGCCAGATTTGAACTCAGATCTTCCTAACTCTAGGTTCCACCACTGCACCACCTAGCTGCCCATTCTATTTTCTACACATAAATAAATACTACTTGCAAGGTAACATCTCCTGAAATATTGTCCTAAGGTATTACAGAAGCATAGCAAAAAATTATTTTCAAGCAATTGGAAGTATTTGATGCATCTTGGTACCATTTTAGACACTGCACTCCAAAATGTTACTTTCAAATATCCACAGTAGGAACCAAACACTCAGCCGAGGTCCGGGGCTTCTAGGGTGACATTGGATTCTTTTGTCTCGTCTTCTCAGGAATAACAACTGTCATCTGCTCAGGCCGCGTCTGGGTGGAGCCAGCGCCAGTCTTTGAGATGGGGTTGAACGTCTCCATCCTTTGCCAGTCAGCTGTACCAAATTGCCAGCCGAGGAAGTTTCATCTCTATAAAACCAGTAAAGGCATTCAAGACAAACTTCGGATGGCAAAACTCAACCAGACTACCGCGCGGCTGCAGCTTAGCAACTTCCGAGAGCCGCGAGCCCACGTAATCTGCAGGGTGGAGTGTCCCAGGCAAGAGGGAGAGAAGCTGATCTGCGGAGAAGACGTGGCTTCTGGCTGTAAGTACCCGAAGATGTCGGTGTGCAAGTGCATTGGGAGAACCACGCGAGTCAGAAATAAACCAGCATTGGTATAGTGCTTGAAGGTTTGTGACGCACTTTACATAAAATGGACTATCTCACTGAAGTCTCCCAACACCACTAGGAGGAAAGTGCTATAATTAGCTCTATTTGATAGAAAAGGAAAATGAGTCTGAGTGACATTGAGACATTTGCCCAGGATCACACAGCTAGTGTCTGAGATAGAATTTGAACTCAGATCTTCCTGGCACCAAGTCCAGTGCTCTGTCTACTGTATCCCTTAATGGCCGCTCCCTAACAGTCTTTCTTCCTGGAAATTCTAGATAGGACAGTGAAAAGCTCATTGGAGTTGACTTAACAGATTCTCTGGGTTTTAAAAATTCCACTGTCATAGATCTGGGACCTGGGCGGGGGTAGCCCCTCCTCCCACTGGTGGCAATCTCAACGCACCCCACACGTTCTTACCTGAGGTGATTCCCACCCACCCTCTTCCTAGAAATCCTACAAAGGGGATGTTTGTTTCTATTAGCTCAATAATAACATTTGCTGACCTTTATCCAAGGAGAAATCTTATGTGAGGTGTGTCCCAGACAGCTAAGTGGCCCACTGTGTAGAGTACTGGTTGTGGAGTTAGTGAGACTTGAGTTCAAATTCAGATTCAGATACTAGTTAGCTATGTGACCCTGGGCAAATCACTTACAGTGTCTGCTTCAGTTTTCTCAACTATAAAATGGGTATAATAACAGCCCCTACCTCACAGGGTTGTTGTGAGGATCAAATGAGATAATATTTGCAGAGCACTTAGCAGTGTCTGCTATATGGTAGGTGCCTAATAAATGCTTGTTTCCTTCCTATAATGGAAAAGGTGGCAAACTGGGAATGAAAGGACTCTACCTGTAACACGCCTGTGTGATTGGGGGCAAGTACTTAAACTTTTTAAGTCTCAGTTTCCTCATCGTTCAAAAAGGGGCAAGATAGTACCTTACTCATCGGGACACAGCAAAGATCAAATGATATCATACGTTAAAAGCATTTTGGGAACCTTAAAGTTCTATGTGCACATTGACTCCACTTACTCCGATACGTGTCCAGTCTTCTCTTTTGAAAGGTTATGAGAGCTAGATTGATCATCGGGGACCTAAGCTCAAATCCTCGCTTGACCATGCACCTGTGCCACCTTCACCGTTTAAATCACTTTTTCTCTCTGACTCAGCTTGCTCATGGGAAAAATGAGGGGTTTGGATCACATGACCCCTGAGGCCCCCTCTCCCTCCAGATTTATGAACCTGAGTCCTCCTCTGGGTTCCCCACCCAGCTCTAAGGTTACGACATTAAGGACTGTAACCGTATGTGGGTCAACACAGAACGTGGAAATCTATAGAATATAAGCTCCCCGTGGGCAGGGATTCTTTCTGCTTTGTCTTTGTATGTCTAGTGCCTGTAGCATGTGTATAATATAGTAGGTGCTTAATATATGCTTATTGGAGCAGATTGGGTGGGATGACCTGTTCCACAAAGGCAGGTGGTCTCTGCCATCTCCCTTCCCACTCCCTGGGCAAGTCTCAAAACACACACACAGATGCACACATGTACACACACGTCACACACATGCACATACATGCATGTGCATGAGCACACGTGCGTGCGCACGCGCACACACACACACACACACACACACACACACACCACTGTCATGCCTGGCTCACCAGAGCTGATCAATGGTCATTACCAAGACCCAGCCATGGTACCCCAGAAGAGCGACAACTGACTGCCAGCTGCCCCTCCTGTTGAGAATGTCCCAACCCTGGCTCTACCACCTTATCTTTTGATAAAGATATTTTGAATAAAGATAAATGATTAAGGAAATCATTAAACATCTCTGGGTATTAGCTTCCTACCCTGTGGAATGAGACAACTGGACTCTATGCGTGCTGGGGTCCCTTCCAGCTCTCTGCTCTAAGACCAGAGTTTTACAAACAAGGAAACTGAGGCCCTCCTCTCTGCCTTCACCTCACTTAGCTCTAGGCATTCTTCTAGACACTGGAAAATCGTGTTTGTGTATGTACTTTGTCAAGTGTGGGAAGAAGGTAGGGAGGCGCTGTTTCAGATGCAAAAGCTGAAGAAAATACCTTGTCTTTTTGGCCATTTTTTTCTCATTTAATTAGCAATACCAAGAGGAGCAGAACAGGTTTTCACATATGATTGAAACAAATCTGCAAAGTATGAATATTCTAGACTTGCTCTGAATTCTAGAAATGGAAACCACAGAGAGGTATCACAGAGCAGGTGGATGACTGAGGTCTGTGCAAATTCATTTAGCTTCTCCACATCCTCAGGAAGCATAAGATACCAGGCCTCTGTGCAAAAATAAAAAAAAAATAGTACCCACTATTTTTCCCTTACAGAGAAGATTGGTCCCACTTTCCTTAGAGAAGCTCAGGGGTAACTTCTATGGAGGCATGAAACAAACCTGGTATTGTTTTTTAAATTAAGACAGAGCTGGATATGAGGCTAAAGAAGTGTTTTGGTTCTACATTCCATCGCGCTGGACTTGGTATCATGCAGACCTGGGTTCAAATCCTTCCTTAGCCATTAGCTACGTGAATCTGAGTCACCCATGTAATCCCTCTGGGCCTCAGTTTCCTTTTCTGTAAAATTATGAGTTTGGATAAGGTCATCAAGGGAACTTAATAGGATCCTTTTTTCTCCTATTTTTGCAAACAGTTTATGTATTATTGGAATTAATTGTTCTTTGGATGCTAGAATTTTCTTGGAAATCTGTCATGTCTTAAGTTGGAAGTTCTTTCACGGCTTATTCAACATTTTTTTCTGAGATTGAGTCATTTATATTCTTTCATCAATCAAAACATTTTATATTGCTATAAATATTTATCTATTTCACTTAAGTTGACATTTTATTGGCATAGAATTAAGTAAAATAGTTTATAATAATTCTCTTTATTTCATCTTCATTTCTTGAGAATTCTTTTTCATCTTTGTTACTGGTAACTTGTTTTTCCTCTTTCTTTTTAAGTCAAATTAGCTAAATGTTTCATCTATTTTATGATTTTTTTAAAAAAACAGTTCCTAATTTAATTTCAAGTCAATGTTCTTTCAATGTTGTTAATTTAACATTTGGTTTTAAAAATAATAACAATAATAGCTAGCATTTATACAGTACGTACTATGTGCCAGGTACTATGCTAAGCACTTTTTACAAATATTATCTCATTTGATCCTCACAATAACTCTGAGAGGTAGACATTATTATCCCCATTTTACAGTTGAGGAAACTGGGGTAGACACTGGTTAAATGACTTGCCCAGAGTCACACAACTAGTTAGTGTCTGGGTCCAGATTTGAACTCGAGTGCTCCTGACTCCAGGCCCAGAGCTCCATCCACTGAGCCACCTTGCTGCCCCAGAATTTCTATTTTTATGTTTAATTGGGGTTGGTTGCTTTGTTGGTATTCTAGTTTGTTTTAGGTGTCCGATGAATTCATTTATTTGCTCTTTCTGTTGTTGGGGAAAGTATTTAGATATATAACGTTTCCCTAAGGACTGCTTTGTCTGCATCTTAAAATTTTTGGTACGTTGTCTTATCTGACCCTGGGCATTGTCTAATCACTGCCCTCTTGGGCTGAGCTTTGTAGGTTTCTGATTGTGGTTTGGGTCTGGGAAACACAACTACAGGCATGCCCCTGTGCAGAGCTGCAGTAGAGGCCTGGTTACCCGGGCCTCTGCTAGCTAACTGTAAGATTCTAAAATTTTCCACATTGAGAATTCTCCACTCCGGACTAAATAAATAAGTAATGCTTTAAGTAATTCAGGGAAGAATAATTTTTAAAATGTATTCCTGAAAATTCCAAGACTTACATTATACTATGTTGGTCATATTACCAGATATTCATTGCCATGTCAACCTCTATATCCCCATTTTGAAAAATTATTCACAAATTCTTATTTCTCTTTAAACCAATCAGGACCATCTTGTTGTGGTTCCATATTCTCTCAGGAATCTACGTGGTCCTCTGCTCATCAGATGTTGGTTCATTTTTTTTTGTCTTGAAATAATTATTCATAGATGTCTGGACTCATTTAGGTGATCTGGAAGCAACCTTCCCTTCTGTTATTAATAACTTCCCTGTTGTCTTCTCTGCTTGTGCTCAAGGTCTTAATGAAGTTTTCTTCCTCTTGGATCTTTAGTAATTTCAGTCTCTTTTCCTTATTATGCCCTTATTGCTCACTTTCTGACTCCTTCCCCTTTGAACATAATTTCCCAGTGGGCCCATACCTCAAAACTGTCTCAGCCCCTCCCATGTTGGGCAATTTATATTTCACCAGCCTCCATTTCTGCCCTCATTGACTTCTGGAGGAAACAGAACTGGCCCATTTGGATGCCAGTCCCCTTTTTCTCAGGTCTAGCGGACAAATCTACACACTAGTATCCTGCCCCAGCACCCTTTTTTTCTCAGTTTTCTGGCTACTTACTGTTTCAGAATGGCCATGCTATAGTCCCAACCTGAGCAAATTTCTGCCTTTTAGTTTTCCTTGGCATGGTGAGGGTGGGAAAGAGAGTTCAGTTCTGCTACAAGCCCATGGGTCTGCTTGTGCATTCTTGCCAAAGCGTAGTAGTTGGTGGGGAAAGGGGTCCTGAGGGAATATGGTAGGGGTTCAGAATTAACTTTTTCTGCTGTTGGTTTATCAGATTGTTACATAATTGAGGTTCTTGGTGTCTTATCCCACGGGGACAGCTGAAATTACTTTATCTCTTGCTATTTTGGAGAGATTTATGGGGTCATGAGGATCAGAGGAAGTGTCTAGACTTCCATTTGTTGGTCATCAGAAAGTATCTGAACAATAGTTCAATAGCACTTCTACTATCAGAGTAAAACATGTGTGCGTGTGTGTGTGTGTGTGTGTGTGTGTGTGTGTGTGTATGTGTAATGAGGATGAGAAGAGAAAATTGAATCAGGCCTTTTGTCCTTATTGAGGTCATCTGATTCCCCCAGTTGTTAACGTCCCCCCTTCTCAATTCACTGTGCAATTTACTTTGTACTTATTCTCTGTTTATTTATCTGTGAACATGTTATATCCTCCTAATTCCAGGGCCTGGTAGAATGCAAACTCCTTGAGATCAGGTCCTGCTTTTCATTTTTGCATCCCGTAGCATCTAATAGAAGTCTTGGCATATACTAGGTGCTTAATGAATACTGATGGATTAATAATATTATTATAAAGAAAAGACTGGGATTTTTCAATACATGTGACTATTTGTAGATTATGTTTTCACATTTTCTGTTTTTAGGCGCAACATGAAACATTAGTCTTTGAATTCCTTGGAACCATGACATACTACTATAGATTGGTTCAGTCATGTGAGAAGACATGTGGAATAATGGAAAGAATGTTGAATTTGGAGTCAAAAGACCTGGGTTTAAATCCTGACTCTGCCACTTAATACCTGTGTGACCTTGGGCAAGTCACCTAATGTCCCTGAGCCTCAGTTTACTCATTGGTAAAATGGAGCGTTTCAATGACCTCTGAAGGCCTTTCTAGACTATGATCCTATGATCCAATTTTATAATTGAGGAAGCTGACACTCAGACTGGTTTTGTAACTTGCTCAGAGTCCCATACCTAGTGTCAAAAGAAGTTTGTGAACCCCAGTTTTCCTGACTTCTGCTTCCTCTCAGCAGTGAGAGATGGAGGGGAGGGTGCTTTGCTATAGACCCAGCCCACCGGGCCAGAGTCAGTGACTCTACATTTCCTTAGACCTCTCTGTACTTTTCTTCATTTTGTCTACGATGTTGCCGCTCAGCAGATTTATATTCTAGAGGGTTGAGCAAGCCAGGAATTCATTCCTTTCTCCTTTTTACAGTTTCACAAACACATTTCCCGATGATGTGTAGCCCTGACCTTACAGTAAATTCTATTCCCTAACAGTTATTTGTTCAAGCATTATAGACTTTTATAATTAAATTTTTTGTCCTTATTTCAGCTTCATTTCCAAATACACCCCTCTTTCTCCTCTTCCCATTGAGCCAGTCTTTTAACAAAGAATTTAAAAAGAGGAGGAAGGAGAAATTCAGCAAAATTAACCAACGTATCGACTAAGTCTGACAGCACAGGCAATGATCCGTGTCTGTCATCTCTTAGTTCTCTAGAGAAAGGAGTGAGGTACGTTTTCTCATCCCTCCACTGGGACCGTCCTTACTCATTATAATGATAAGCATTCAGTTTCTTTTTCTGTTCCTTCCATTCACATTGTTGTAGTCATTATGTACAGTGTTTTCCTGGTTCTGTTCATTTTACTCTGTAGCATTTCATATTCGTTTTTTCTTATGACACATTGTATTCTCTCACATTGAGTCTTCTAGGATGTGGCATGTGGCACTGACCTGGAAACTGAGAAGACCTCGGTTCAAATGTTGCCTCTGGTACACACTGATTGTGTTGCCCTTGGCGAGTCAATTAACTAACTGCTCAGTGCTCTGGGCAGCTCTCTGAGACTCCACCTTGAAGAGAAGGTGCAGACCTGCATCAGGAGCTAGAGTTTCTTTACCTCGGAGTTCCTTGCACCAGTGAACCAGTCACAGATCCAGGCTCTATCTGCTTCTTCTAAACACACACACACACACACACACACACACACACACACACACACACACTCCATTCTTACATGATGTTTGTGTTTCTGGGTGTCCGTATTCCTCCCAATGGCCCATCAGGAAGCCATTGGCAAAGACCTCTTCACATACCATTTAACTCGTCATCATGTACAACGAATGTCACAGCTCCATCAATTCATTGCCAATGCATTGAGTTGTTCCATGTGGTCCTTTGTTTGTCTGCCCAGACCCTCTTGTCATACGCAGATACTGAAACATTGTCCTAAGGCCTTGACTGTTGCTATCTGTTATTTCTTTCCATTTTGAGAACAGAAGAAGCTTGGGCAGGATTGAAACTAAAGTGGCAGAGTTTTCCACTAGAGTACAATTCTCAAATCTCTGGAGAGAGGGAAGGAAGGAGGGAGAGAGAGAGACAGAGAGACAGACAGAGAGACAGAGAGAGGAAGAGACTTAGAGAGAGATGGGGGGGACACAGAGGCAGACAGAGACAGACACGGACAGACACAGACAGAGAGGAGAAGGAGAGACAGACAGACAGAGAGAAAAAGATAGAGACAGAGAAAGAGGCAGAAACAGGGAGAGAGACAGAGACAGAGACAGACACAGACACAGAGACAGACACAGATACAGAGACACAGAGAGACAGAGAGATAGGAGAGGATCAGCGCTGAGGGCAAAAGGCAAATGGAGAAACCCAAAGTAGGCCCAAGCTGTAGTGGAGGAACAGAGCTCCCAGAGGCCCATGTGCTCCTGTGGCATCTCAGAAGAGCAGTCAGGTAGAAGGCACTATCCACCTACCTGTTCACTCCTTCTCCTTCTTCCCCTCCCTGCCTCTGGGTTCATTACCAGGAGTAGTGATGCACTCTCCTTGGTTCTTTGCCCTAATATTCCCCATGCCCTGGCCAGGGGCCCGCTAGAGATGAACATAGATTTATATTAAGGCAAAGAGCCAAACTTCTGACAGCACAGGCAACTTTGTACACTTGGAGAGCTCCATTTTCCCATCAAAACGAGGGTGGGGGTGTTTCGTCTGTTCTCCGGCGCCAGAGAACTAATCATTGCCATTCCTCTGAATTCCGTCGCCTGTTAGTCAACCCCCCTTATTTTACAGATGAGGAAACTGAGGCTCAGAGTGAAGTGCCTTGCCCTAGGTTCACACAGCTCATTAGTGCAGAGCTGGGCGCAGCACCTAGATTTCCTGATGTCCACCTCAGGGCCTCTTCCAGCACCTTACCCTTACGAATGAACTGGAGTTCTTGACGTCGGTAATGGAACCACAAATATTACTTGACTTTGACCAGACTATGAAAAAATGTCGTGTTTTCATCCATTCCACGGGTTGCCTTACTAAGATGTTCGGTTCTCGATTCTGCCCCCTGAATTGTCTGAGGGATGTGTGTTATTGCAGATCCTCCAAATGTTCCCACCAACTTAACGTGCCTCGTTTATGAGCATTCCAGCAACGTGACGTGTACTTGGGATACAGGGACACCCACCTACCTCAACACCAAATACACCGTGCATGTGAAGAGGTGAGTCCTAGCCCCAAGGATTTCCTGGGTCACCCCCTCATTCATTCAATGAGCACTCAATAAGATTCTACCATGAGCCATGTAACAAATGCCCTTGGGGTGTTGGGTTCAGTTTTGGACACAGCGCTTTAGGAAGGAAGTTAATAAGCTGGTGAGTGTCCAGAGGAGGGCAACCAGGATGGGGAAGGGTCTGGAGTTCATGAGAGGACTCTGTCTACACCTGCTGTGTGAGTCCTGATGGGCTATCCCCGAGCAGGCTCGCTGCTGAAACTGTGAATAGGATGAAATTGTCTCTTTTATTTTGATCAGCCAAGTGTTTATTAAGTGCCTATGGTGTGCCGGGCACTGGCTAGGTCCTGGGGGTGGGAAGATGCTTACATTCTGACAGAGGAGACAACATGTACATATGGAGATACATAGAGATAGGGATTGGACCTGCAATTTCATTAGCATAATGTATATTATATATTAGTACAGTATAACCAACTGGGTAAAGAAACCCCTTCCACCAATGCAGATCAGCACTTTCTTCATAACTTTTAGCCTTAGAGGGGAGCCCAGGCAGGGAGAAGTCAATTGACTTGCCCAGGGTCACACAGCCAAGTATGTGTCCGAGTTAGGACTTGAGGCTGGCTCTTCCTGGTTCCTCGGGCTGGTTCTCTCTCCACTTGGCCAGTATCTACAAAAAGAATTCGTGGTCATTTTTGTAATTCTTCCCCTTGTCCCTTCTCGGGAGTGCTCTCACCGACTTCACATCATCGGAGTTGGCCCTGCCCACCTGTGACACCACCATTGTTCTCTTCTCATCAAAATACACTCATCCTTCAGGGCTCCACTGTGTGACAATGAGTGGTCACGGGTCCATTAGGTACAACAGCTAGTCCTCTAAGGCACTTTCCACGCCAGCTCCCTTGATCCCCACGACAACCTTGGGAAGCCTGTGTTATTTTTGTTTCCTATTAAGAAGGAAGGAAACTAGTATCTACTATGTAGGTGCTATGTAGTGGGAAATAAGTACTTACCATGAAGTACCTGCTGTATGCTAAACACTTTACAAATACTATCTCATTTGATTCTCACAACAGCCCTAGGAGGTGGGCACTATTATGAGCCCTGTTTTACAGTTGAAGAAACTGAGGCAGACAGTGGTTAAGTGACTTGCTCAACATTACGCAATTAGTAAGTATCTGAAGCTGGATTTGAACTCAGGTCTTCCTGATTTCAGACTCAGGCTCTATCGACTGTACCACCTTCCTGGTCCTATTAGTTCAATATCTTCCCCATTTTTCTAGTATCTTGGAAACCAGCAGTTCAGTGCCCTCCAGACTATGCCACCTATAGCCTAGATTTCTGATGCATAGATCGGCTTTGTTCCCCCCATCTTCATCTTCATCAGCACCATTTCCTCTTCTCCCTATAGCTTATCTGGGAGTGGGTTGTTGTGTCCAAATATGGTCGTTCCATCATCATTCATGGTAAAAATGGTTCATTATAGAAATGCTGACATATCTGTTTCATTTTTCATCTATTTGTTTTTCTCCTTCCAGTTTCATATTGAAATACACTTAGGATAATCTGACTTAATAGGGCCTCAAGCTCTGATTTCGGTAGACTTATTTCCCCTCTATGTCAAACAGAGAGAGAGAGAGAGAAAGAGAGAGAGAGAGAGAGAGAGAACTTTTAACATTTAATTATTTAATTTTGGGGGGGGAAAAGTGAGGCTAAGCCCTGTTGTCTGGTCACTTGCTGCTAATATACATGGCACATTATTAGGTGTGGCTGAGGTGCTGATGGAGGGGAAGGTGGGCTTTTTAAAGAAGCAGAGCTCTTTAATTGGTGGTTATGGTTAACACAACCATGCTCAGAGCCTGTTTCAGTTCTGTCTTGTGGTCTCAGTGTATGTGGTCAAAGAAGTACAAGCCACAAACCAATTCAGGACATGTCTTTGCTCTAGTTTGTGGAACAGGGGAAACATTCAGAGGTGCCCTACTTTGCTTGCCATGTGGTCTGCCATGTTTCTGTTCTCACACAAGTTATCTCACTGAGCAACAGACAAAGAGCCTAAGTTGTTTAGAGCCTATTAGATTAGAAAGCCAACCTTTGGGCTTTGAAGTGAATACAATTAAAAGTATATTTCATATGTCAGAATAGAACTATGAAAACAACAATGCCGTCTGTTATCAAAGTCAACCAATCAACGTGCATTCATTAATGCGTTTTTTTTGAGTTGTCTTTCCCGGTACCTAACACAGTACATGGCACATAGCAGGTGCTTAGTCAATCAACAAGTATTTGTTTTAACCAGTACCCAATGCACTGACCTGAATCAGGAAAGGCTAGATTTTTGGATGTTGTTGGGGAGTGGAGGGGGAGCAGGGCAGGGAAGATGAAGAGTAGAGCTATGAAGGGTGGCTCTTTCTCGGCTAGGCAGATTAAGAAAACTTAAGTCTAGGGAAGGAGAAGTTGTGGGGGGTTGATATTACCAGAATAAGGATTATATAGTCTTAGAACTCAGAAAGCAGAAGGGAAAATTCTAAGAAGGGCACGGTCAACAGTGCCAAATGCAACAGAGAGGTCCAGGAAGATGAGAGGGGACCAAAGGCCCCTCCATGACTTTGGCTGAGAGTTGGTTTTTGGCAGCCTTTGAATGATTTCAGAGGAATGGGAAGAAAATCAGCTCTCAAGACTTTGGGAAGTAGTGGGTGGTGAGAAAAGGAGCGTGGTAATGATGAGTTCTCATTCAAAAGCTGAGCTATGAAATGCAGGGGAGATATAACTGGAAGGGTAGCAAGGTCAAGTAAAGGGCAAACCTTTAGGGAAACCCAATGAGACCTCTTCCTATAACATAACTGACTGATCTTCTCATAAATAAGGGCACACTGTTCTTTTCAGGACAGAATCTTAAAAAGAAGATTCAAGTCTTCCTCCTAATCCCAACAACTCCAAGTGTCAACAAATGTCACATCTCCTAAGACTTTTAAATGTAATCATTTTTAGAAATATGCAAAATTGGCAAATCTATCTCACCTAATCTAATTAGCTGGATCTAGTTCTCTGGCCAGGTGTCCCTATCTCTAGCCTCTAGTAAGAGACTAGGTCAACTTGTATAGCATAGAGTTTTAAAATAATACTCAGGGAAGATGGGAACAGCGACTGTCTGTGTAGACATACACATAATTAGCAATAATCAGACTAGGTTTGAGATGACCAAGAATGTTTCCAATTCTCTTGAATAGTGGAGTGGTATTCTAAAAATAATTGTACTACTCTCAGTGTGAAATTAATTTTAATTTAAAAAATATGCCATACAATGTTTCCAAGAGGAAAAAGGCACCCATAGAATTATTATCACTGAAAACTACTGGGACCAAATACAGTTTGAGTAGGGGATGGGGAAATGGAAATGAGAAGCCCAGGACAGACCGATGGGAGACAAAGAGTCTTCGGGGGTAGCTGCAGGATGACCAAAGAGTGGAGAGATCAGAGGATCATAGATTTAGAAATAGAAGGGACTTCTGAGGGCAGCTAGTCTAACTTACTCATTTAGAGTTGAGGAAACCGAAACCCAGAGGGGTTGAACAATTTGACCCAGGTCACATCAGTGGTAAGTGGCAGGGCCCACATTTGAACCCAGGACCTCTACTGCAGACTCAGCCCTCTTTCGCTTGTACCAACTACTTGGAAGTTCTTTTTCCCAGGAAGAATGTACATCTCCCACACATGTTGAGCCCTTGGAGCGAGCCCCATTGACCTCATAATGTTTCTAGATCTGTATGTCCCCAGTGAGGACTAGGAGTCAGAAACAGTCAAAAGTCACAATTTAAACCCCACTTATTGAACTCCCTGTCTTGTTTCAGCTTGCAGACAGGAGAAGAACAGCTCTATCTTACTTCAGGGTATATCAACATTTCGACCAGCGCACTACGCAGTGGCAAAATGTACTCCATTTGGGTCCAAGCGGCAAATGCACTAGGCAAGGAAGAGTCGGATCACCTGCAACTTAACCTTGATGACATAGGTAAAGAATTCCAATTCTGATCATGGCATTGGTAAAAACTCAATTCAACAAATATTTATTAATCACCTAGTATGCACTGATCACTGGTGCAAGACATTGGAGATACAAAGACAATACACTCCCTGCCTTAAAAGAGCTTCTGAGCTAACCTGTGCAAATATGGCCTGAGATAGCACGGCTGAGACGAAGGCTAGTGTTAAATAACGTGTGTCTGGAAGAGGGCTCACAACAAAGTCAACGAAGCTCCTTAGGATTCATCTGTATCAATACAAGTACAGCATAGAAGCGTATGTCTAAATTAAAGTTAATTCACCCCAGCCTACAGAAGAACCTTTCAGGGTTTACTTTCATTTCTCTGTTAAAGGTAGAGGGACTTAGGGAGGAAAACATGGTTAGAATGTCATTATTGAACTGGCATATGGAAATAGAATTGTTCTACAGTTCTCTCCTGTTACTCTATTTTCCCACCCTCCCTTCTAGACACCTTAATAGTGGTTGTTTGAGCCCCTTTATAATGCCATAGGATCATGGAGCTGAAAGGGACCTTAGAGATCATTAAGTCTAACCTCTTCATTATACAGATGAGGAAATGGAGGCCCAAAGAAGTGAATTGTCTTGCCCATGGTCACACAGATAATCAATAGGAGAGAGAGAGAAGAGAGTAAAGAGAGAAGACACACACATGCACAGAGAGAGAGATTCAAACAGTTCTGACTCCACATCTGTGCCCTTCCATTGAACCATTTGGTCTATTCCAGTTATTTTTCCCATCTTTCTTTTCTTCAGAACTTTTCCACTTCCTTCATAAGTACATATGAGACTGGGAGATTAGAATTCAATGTGTTTGCTCCGCTATCCTTGATGGTAAAAAGAACTCATTTAAAAATTTTGCAAGGTTTGCATTTCTCTAATCAATAGTGATTTAGAGCATTTTTCCATGTGACTATAGATGGCCTTAATTTCTTCATCTGAGAACTGCCTGTTCATATCCTTTGACCATTTATCAACTGGGGAATGACTTGTATTCTTATAAATTTGACTTAATTCTCTATATATTTTAGAAATGAGGCTCTTATCAGAGACACTGGTTGTAAAAATTCTTTCCCAATTTTCTACTTTCCTTCTAATCTTGGTTGCATTGGCTTTGTGCAAAAACTTTTCAATTTAATGTAATCAAAATTATCCATTTTATATTTCATAATGTTCTGTATCTCCTATTTAGTCATGAATTCTTTTGTCCTCCATAAATCTGATAGGTAAACTATTCTTTGCTCTCCCAGTTTGCTTGTAGTATCAGTCTTTATATCTATTGTTGTGCAATGACTAATGTTGATAGACTTAGCCCTTCTCAGCAATGCAAGGATGTAAGATATCTCCAAAAGTCTCATGATGGAAAATGCTATGCACATCCAAAGAAAGAACTATGGAGTTTGAATGCAGATCGAAGCATACTATTTGCTATTTTTTCCTTCTGTTTTGTTTTGTTTCCTCTTTCTGGTGGTTCTTCCTATTGGTTCTTATTCTTCCTTAAAACGTCACTAATGTGAAAATATATTTAATAAGAATCTATGTGTATAGCCCATATCAGATTGCAAGCTGTCTTGAGGAGGGAGAGGGAGAAAAATTTAAAACTCAAAAGTCTAAGGAAGTGACTGTTGATAAATCAAAATAAATTAATAAACAAAATTTTCGGGGATAGCTAGGTGGTGCAGTGGATAGAGCACTGGTTTTGGAGTCAAGAGGAACTGAGTTCAAATCCAGCCTCAGACACTTGATACTCACTAGCTGTGTGACCCTGGGCAAATCACTTAACCCCTGATTGCCTCACCCCCAATTTTTTTTTTTTTTTGCAGATCTTTTCCATTCTTCATCTGTTTCTTTTACTCCCTCCAGTTTCATCCTTAAATGTCTCTAGGATAATGGCTTAATTGGGTCTCTTTATAAGCTTTCTTTGAAGTTATTCCTTCCACTGTTTGTGTTCTATAAAGTGATGCTGCCCAATCTTCCACCATCTTTCTATATAAGAGTTTACAAATGCATTTAAATTTTAAATCGGCATTGTCCTTGGCTTCTGCATCTCTCTATTTGGCCAAACAATCATATTTACTCTCCAAGGTGGTTTTTTAAAGGTTCTTTTGGCATCCTTGTTACAGCAGTGAATTGATATTAGTTAAACTTTGTTATGAAATTATTGTGATCCATCTCATTTTCTTTTTCCTCCTTCTGTTTTCTCTATTTGTGAGTGTGTCAGTTACTTGTTTAAGTCAGCTTCAGTTTTTTTTAAATTGCATATAGCATCTTTTTCTGATGTCTATTCTTTTTATTCATTTCAATCTTTTAACAAGTTGGTGATCTGTCTATGCACATTTAGCTGATCCAAGAATGTCTCCCACACCACTCATCAGTTATTTTCTGTCTATCAAAACATAATCAACTTCATTTTTTGTGATGTTATTTGGAGCTCCCCATGTCCAGTGTCTTGGTAGTTTTCTTGAAGAATGCATTAATATGAAGACGCATCAAGTTTCTGTGTAGCTACACTTTTGTAGGCTTTCTTCTTCTCCCTGAACTATATTTTCTTTTTTTTTTAAATTATATTTTCCAACCTATTTCTTTTTCTTTTTTTCTTTTTTTTTTTTTTTAGGCAATTGGGGTTAAGTGACTTGCCCAGGGTCACACAGCTAGTAAGTGTCAAGTGTTTGGTCTGAGGCCAGATTTGAACTCAGGTCGTCCTGACTTCAGGGCCGGTGCTTTATCCACTGCACCACCTAGCTGCCCCTAACCTATTTCTTGATTGTTCTCACCTATACCCACCTTCACAATGAAGTTACTGGGCATATGTTGATTCCATTTGGAGGTTCCTATGGGGTTCTTCCAAGTTTTTCTCTATCTCTTCATCCTCTGAAAGAGATGCTGGCACATAAACTGGGATTATTTTCAGGGAGGCTTTTCAGTAAACATTTATTATGAGTACTGAAATGTGAGATGATCAAATATCTCATGAAATTGTACTACTTGTTTCTATTAGACATGTCATAAAATCCACTCCAACAACTCCTTTATTTGCCTCCATAAAGAGATGGTAGAAACTATACATCCAGTTAGCTGGGACACTTCTTTCTGTGCTCTGGCTTCATTTAGAACAAGAGTTTCAAATTTATTTCATTGTATTAAAACCAGAGCTAAAAGCTATAGAATTTTAGAACTATAAAAACTACATGTGATATATGAATAGAATGTAGATATATGCATATAAAGTATTTTCCAAACCTTAAAGTACTATGTCAATGTTAGTTTCATTATTTTCATTATCATTATTATTGTCAGATAGGAGTTTAAGATTAGCAAAGTGCTTACATGTATTATCTCATGAGGTCCTCACACCAGCCTTGGACAGCAGGCAATATTGTTCAAGCCTTCATCCTCTGACACTCCCTCTCTCACATTCCGCTTCTGAAATTATAATTGAATCAGTTACATCATTACTTCTGGAAAAGGTCCATCAATCTATTCCCCCATGGCTCCAGTCATCATCCCTATGACTTTCCAAGCCCAGAGAGCCCTTCCTGGCCACCTCTCCTTTGTACGTGTTTTCCAGAATGTCAGCTTCTTGAAAGCAGAGACTATATATTTGCCTTTCTTGGTATCCTCCGTGCTTGGCACATAGTAAATACCTACTAAATGTTTTTGCCGTTGTTGTTTTTTCCCATTCATTCAAATACACTCCTTTTCTGGCTGAGCCTAAATGATGCCCATTATTGTTTTATTTTCCAGTGATTCCTGCCCTCCCAGTCATTACAGGAGCTGAGGATTTAAATACATCGGTGCCCACAACTATTATCCACTGGAAAATCCAAACATCGATGGATGGAGTTTTCTGTGAGATGAGATATAAGGCAGCCACGAGGCCATCTTGGAATGTGAGTCAAACTTTGGTTTTCCTTTAGTGTATGATCAATTTAAAGAAAGCAGACTGGCTGAAAGTAGCCCTGGGGGTACGGTCATTTCAGTCTGGGTTCTTAACCCCAGGCCCACAGACTCCCAAGGGGTGCATCCTTGTATAGATTTCAGGGAACAGTGAACAGGGGTGAAAAAATGATGCATTTATTTTAGTTTGATTGGTTTCCTTTATACTCCTATGCATTTTATTACATGCTTTTAAGAATCTTATTCCAAGGGGCAGCTAGGTGGCACAGTGGATAGAGCAAAGGCCCTGGAGTCAGGAGGAGCTGAGTTCAAATCCATCCTCAGACCAAACACTTGACCCTTACTAGCTGTGTGAGTCTGAGCAAGTCACTTATCCCCAATTGCCTTAAAAAAGAAAAAATCTTCTGGTGCTCATCTAACAGAAATTCATGTTAACAGAATTCCCCACTTATGCCAAGAGTTCTTCTCCTTTGGGCCCCTTGGCAGTTGGGTGAAACCCATGGGTCTCTTCTTAGAGTAAGGTTCTTTTTTAGGTTCCTGGTATATACAAGGCAGCAGCGTAATAGATAGAAAGCTGGCCTCAGCAAAATATGGGTTCAAGTCCTGTCTCTGGCAGAGTGATTTTGTGGTGAGAAGAATCTACAGACATTCTTTTGCCACAGTGATCAGTGATGAAGCTTTCAATTCAGGGCCAACGTGGTACAGAATCAATGACTCCTCAGGAGCAAGGAGCCCCTTGTTGAGACAGAGTTGTATAGACTGAAAGTTAGATGAGATCTTGAAGGTCATTTAGTCCGACCGCTCCCTCAATTTATTGATGAGATCATAAGATGGCCGGCTCATAAATTTAGAGCTGGAAAAGGCCATTTGGGTGCAACACTTTCCCTTAACAGATACAGAAAGGGAGGTTTTTAAGTGACTTGCCCAATGATCATATGGGTGGTGATAAAATCAGTATTTGCATTCAGGTCCTCTGAGTAAAGTCCCTCTATTGTGCCTTGTGGACTCTAAGTCTCCTTGTGTAAGGAAGGGCCCAAGATGGTGGATCCCCCACCTGTGGTAATAATAATGACAATAACAATAATAACAGTAATAAACTTTTACATAATGCTTTAAAACTAGTGTTCTTAACTTTTGTTGGTCATGCTCCCCTCCCCCATCCCACTCCACCCTTTGGCACCCTGATGAATCCTATGGACTTCTTCCCAGGATAATGTTTTTAAATGCATCATATAAAATACACAGGATTACAAAGGAAATCAATTATAATGAAATGCAATTATCCAAAAAAATTTTTCAAGTTCATAGCTCCCCTCCCCAGATTAAGGCTCCCCACTCCCCACTCCCTTTAAAGGTTATAAAGCACTTTACTTCTATGATATACAGTTGAACTTCACAACAACGCTATAAAGAAGTAATAAAGATTTTATTGTCACGAGTTTATGGATGAGGAAAAGGAGGCCCCAGGCTTCCGTGACAAGGCCATGGCATGGTGAGAAAGAGTAAAGGGTGGGAGCTGTATCTGGGTCTTCCTGACTCCAAGCCCCAGCCCCTAGTCCCCTCTGGTGCCCAGTGATGAGGTAGAAGCACATGTATAATGTATCTAAATATGTCGCCAGACTCTTAAGGAATCTGAGCATCTGTGGGCTATTGGCTAGATTGTGAAAATCTGCGCATCTTAATGGAGACAAGATGGACTTTATATACAGAAAGATTGTGGGAGGGATCCAAGTAGTACAAGAGGTAATAGAATTACCAAGGGTGGGAAATGGAACCAAGGGTGGGAAGTGGCCTGGGGCCATAGGGAGGCAAGACAGTGGAGGGGAGGTTGGGTGAAAGACCAGCTGATGGGACTATAGCTTCAGGGGAATGCCAGAGATTTGGCCATGTGGGAAAATCCAGGGTTTTTCCTTTCTGGGGCCCAGATTCCAACCCCATAATGGCTGCCGGAAAAACTGAAATGAAGTTCTGGAAAGGTCTCTCTTTTTCTGGAGTTCTCTTTAATCGAATCACCCATCTCAGAATGTAAAGTTCAGTTAAGTTTATGTCTTGTGTCACCTCGATCTCAATGAGGCTTTATCAGCAGGCGCCACAAGGTGGCGAACCTGAGCATCTGTGCCTGATCCAGCCTCTGGCAGGGTCTGTGTGGTTTCGCGGAATCACGTTTTCAGGCTTTCAGTCTCCTCGTGTATATAATGAGTGGGTTGGACCAGGAGAGCTCTGAGCTTCTTCCAGCACCACACCTATGATTCTATGCCTTCCTCGTCCCCGTGGCCAGTGTCAGAGTGACCGTGCATGTGGGAGAGGGTAGGTGAGCAGAGACAAAGGTCTTAAGGAGATGTGATTTGGTGGGGTCTATTCCTTTAGCAAAACCTCCTTAAAAGTGAGATTTCTTTTCTTGAAATCAGGACTATCCTGGACACATTCATGGTAGCTGCAGGCCCTCTACCTGGCACTCCCTACAGCCTCCTATCTCACACCAGATGGCAGAAGAAGAATGACTGGTGCTTAAATAATGCCCTAAGGTTTACAAAGCCCTTTACACGTTATTTCACTGAAGCCTCCCAAACACCCTTTGAGAGAGGTACTGGAGATATTTATTAACCCCATTTTACAGATGAGAAAATAATAACAGCTGGGATTTATGGAGCACTATCAGAGACACACATAGAGCCCCTCACATCATGCTGCCTTTTAAAAGTTTCAATCAAATCTTCACTGATTTAGAATAACCGCAAGGGAACCTGCTCTAAATTAGAAGATATTTCAAATTGACTATACGTGGCATTTTGTACCCCAGGCAACCACCTCAAAGCGCGCTAGGGTAGTTGTCATGAACTCTCAATTTTGCAGGTCAGGCATCCTCCTATTGAAGGGAAAGAGAAACCCTAGGATGTAAGCTTCTGGCTGGGACATGAAATGTTTGAGGCTGTATTTGGAGCCCAGCTCAGTGAAGGGTGAGCGAGAGGTGCATACATCTACCCACTTCTTTTCACTAATTGTTTCTGCCATGTCGATCCTGAGTCCTCTACATTATGTTGTCGTTCGGTCGTCTCAGTTGTGTCTGACTCTTCATGACCCCATTTTGGGGGTTTTCTTGGCAGAGATACTGGATTGGTTTATCATGTCCTTATCCAGCTCATTTTACAGATGAGGAAACTGAGGCAAACAGGGTTAGTGACTTGCCCAGAGTCACACAGTTAGTAAATATCTGAAGCCAGATTTGAACTCAGGAAAATGAGTCTTTAAATTTGCCACCAACTGAATTCAGAGCCTCGAGGCAAAGCCCTGACCACAATACCTTAGCTAAAGTTCTGACTTAAAAAAAAAATGCAGATTTTTTTACTTTCATCAACTGTAGACTCCTCCTCCTTCAAAATGATTGAGGAACATTTCGAATGTTCCAGTAAACAAAAATTACACATTTCCAAATGTGTATAATAAATGTAGTTACCATCAAACAAACAGTGTGAAGTGACTAGGGCTCTTGGCTTGGAATCTGGAAGTCCTGGATTCCAGTCCCACCACAGACACATACCAGCTGTGGGACCCAGGGTGAGTCATCAACCATCCCCTAAGGCTCGAGGCTGCAGAGAAGATGCTAATCTTCATCGGGACTGATGAAATCACAGGTCTGGCTACAATAAAGAGTAAAAACTGCACTGAGCAGAAGAGAATTTCATCTTTCTTTAGGGATACAGGGGCACTTGGGCTCCTCAGAATCATCACTCTGGAAATGCAGTACCACCATATGCACTATAACTAAAGAATGCATAGAAGGTTGAGCTAAAGCTAGACTGAATTTAGGATGTGCCCTTGCTAGGGGGTGCCATAGTGCATGGACTGAGGGGCCAGAGGCAGGAAGACTCACCTTCCTGAGTTCAAATCTGGCCTCAGACACTTCCCAGCTGTGTGACTCCGGACAAGTCACTTAACCCTGTTCTCCTCAGTTTCCTCATCAGTAAAACGAGCTGGAGAAAGAAATGGCAAACCATTCCATTATCTTTGCCAAGAAAGCCCCAAATGGGGTTGCAGAGAGTCAGACCCCACTGAAAAACGACTGAATACCAACAGATCCATGATAGCTAACCTGTGGGGCTCCCCATGCAAGGAGCTCAAACTCTCCATCCCAGTCATGTTTTTTTCTCTACTACAAATGGATTTGTAGTCAGATGGCATAGGTTCCAATCCGCCTACCCCTTACTAACTGTATGACCTTGGACAAGTCATGTGAGTTATCTGGACCTCTAAGTCATGTGAGTTATCTGGACCTGGACCTCTAAGGTCCGTTCCAGATCTAAATCTTAGAATCCTCTGATTTGAGGGCACCCAGAAGTTGGGAACCATCCTTTCTCAAAAGAATTCCTGGTATCTTGTCTATTACTTCGCTTGGACCTCTTGGTTTGTAGAGGTGCAATGTAGGACACTTGGGGAGATTCTAGTTGTCTGAATGCTCTAGATCTAATTCTCTGGATTCTCTGTATCCAATCCTCAGCAGCCAGTAGAATGTGAAGGCATTCTTGTACTCTGTCTCCACCTAGTGGTGCCGAGAACCTTTCGATGGTCTGGGTTTATATGACAGCGTTCCAAGGGACCTTGAGGCCATCCATCTCTGACCTTCTTTTACAGATGAAAAAACCAAGGCTCTGAGAAATGATGTGACTGACCTCAGATCACACAGAGAGTTAATAATGACGTTAGGACTAGAATTGAGGATTCCCAGCTCCTGTTCTATGAACACACACACACACACACACACTTTTATAACAAGGTTCTGAGCATCAAATTCTGAAATTTGGTTCTTGCCTATTGGACGAAATCACTATTACCCTTTGCTAACAAAATATTTTTAAATTTCATTCTTAAAATGACCTTATGCAGGTCAATCACTCATTCAACAAACATTTATTAGGTTCCTGGTATATACTAGACAGCAGCATAATAGACAGAAAGCTGGCCCCACAAAGTATGGGTTCAAGTCCTGTCTCTGGCAGAGTGACTTTGTGGTAACTAGGTAGAGTACTGGACCTAGAATCAGGAAGCCCTGAGTTCAAATCCCATCTCAGACACTTACCAGTTGTGTGACCCTGGGCAAGTCACTTAACCTTTGCCGACCTCCGTTTCCTCATCTGTAAAATAAGTACAATACCTCCCAAGTTGTTGTGAAGATAAAATGAGTTAATACGTTGAGTAAATTGTGAAATTTGAAGCTCAAAATAATGCTAGTTATTAATATTATTTAATCCTCAGTGCCCCCACCCCCGGCAACATTCTGAGACAATAAGTTGCAAAAAGTTGATAGACAGAGGAGTTTCCACACTGGGAATTCCCTTCATTGAGGAATATAATCCTACTTCTGGAACCCCCTAAGAATTTTGAATGGGTTTACAACTAAGTTATCTTGTTCCCAATATTCTTGGCTCGGGATAAGAGCCGTAAGATTTCATGGCATTTTAGAGCAGGGAGCGACCTTAGGCGACCCTTAGTTGCAGTGACATTCTATTATTGACCCATCATAAACGTCCCTGGAGAATTAGATTTGTGAGTCACCGAAGGACAACAGAGAGAGGTGTAGACAGGCTCCGACATTTTAAAATGAAGAACTGAATGTGAGAGGAGGTGAAAAAAGTCTCATAGGAGGGCCGCGTGTCCGAAATGGGCCCGTTCCCTTCCCCTCCCTCTGTCCGTCTTCCTAATTTCACCGCCTCTGTGGATGGGATAGCTGCTCTTTTAATCGACGGCTCCACACCTTCCAGCCATCCTCAATTTTTTCATCTCCAAAGCATCTCCCACCTCCCCTTCTTTGCCGCTCCCATCGCCGGCGCCCCAGGCTCTCCGCGCCTCTCACACGGACTGCGTGGGGTAGGAGCCACCTCTCTGGTCTTCTCTCTGTTTTCTACAGCCCCTCCTCCCCCGGGCTGCCTAAGGGCCTCAGAAGCACGATCTCTCCTCTCCTCCAGGGTCTCAGGACCTGCCTATCGCTTCTAAGATCAAACACAAACCCCTCCCCTTGGAGTTGAAAGCCCTTCCCTCTCGGGCTTGCTTCCTTACACCACCATCGGCTCAGTCACGCAGGCCAAGCCTCAGGTCATCTTTGACTCCACCCTCTTACTGACCCCCACCCCCCAATATCCAATCTATCCGATCCAAGTCTTTTCCATTCTACTTTCTCTACGTCTCTCACATTTGCCCCCTTCTCTCCTCTGACACGGCCCTCACTGTGGTGCAGACCGTCTTCACCTCCTGCCTGGACTATTGCAATAGTTGAGGGCAGGGGGTGGGGGGTGGGGGTGGAGAGGAGGGAAACACTCTGGTCCATCGTCCACTCAACTGTCAACTTGAGCTTCTGAAGGCACAGGTCTGACCACTGCACCCCTTTCCATTCAATGTGCATCAGGGGCCTCGATCACCTTCAAGATCACCTCTGGCTGTTAAAGCCCCTTAAAACTTGGCCCCCCCCCTTTTTCCCCTTTTTCCCCCCCCCCCCCCCCCCCCAACGATGCAGCAACCTTGCTCTTTTTGCAGTTCCTTAGACAAGACCCTCCATCTCCCTATTCTGGACATTTCCCCCAGCTCTCCCCCATGCCTGGCATGCTCACCCTACCCCACCCTCCATCTCAGGGCTTCCCTGGCTCCCTCAAGACTCCCCTCAAATGCTACCTTCTGCTAGAGGCCTTGCCCAGGTGTCCCCTTCTGTTTGTGCCTTTCCTCTGAAATTATCCTTCGTTTTACAGATTGCGTGTGCCCAGTTATTTGCACGTTGTTTGTGCCATTCGAATATGAGCTCTTTGAGGGAAGGGAACATGTTTTCACTTCTCTTTGTATCTGCAGCACTTGGTACAGTGCCCAGCACATAGTAGGTCCTTAATAAATGCTCCCTCTGACTTCAGCTCATCTTTCCCCAACAAGTGCACATATGTGGCTTCCTGGCACACTGACCAGACTCTGGCCAAACTGGCCTGATTACTTTTCCTTATGCATGGCACACCATCTCAGCCTCTATCTTTGTATAGATTCTTCCCCATACTTGGGATTCTCTCTCCCTTATCTCCACCTCTTGGAATTCCTAACTCCTTGCAAGGCTGGGCTCAAGCCCTGCCTCCTATAGTTAGAGCTCTTCTTTCTCTCTGAAATGACTCTGGACTCATTTTCTATGTATTTATCAGTGGACATGTTGTTTTCCTCCAGAAGAAGGCAAACTCCTTGAGGGCAGGAAATATTCCAAATTTTTTTTGTATCCCTAATGCCCAGCACACAGAAGACAAATAATAAATGCTTATAGATGGGGCAGCTAGGTGGCGCAGTGAGTAGAGCACCGGCCCTGAAGTCAGGAAGACCTGAGTTCAAATCTGCCCTCAGACATATAAGACTTACTAGCTGTGTGACTGGGCAAGACTCTTCACCCCAATTGCCTCAGCAAAAAAATAATAATAAAAAAATCTAACAATAAATGCTACAGAGTTGAATTGAATCAGCAACCTGAAGTCCATTGAGGTAAAGTATATTGCCCAAAGTCCCACATATTACTAGTAAAAGACGGAATTTTCAGCAAAGTGTTCTGACTGTAAAGCCAATGGCCACTGCTCTCCAGAAGTCTGCCTTCAGCTTAGGCTGCAATTTGGGGGGATCCAGTTTGGTCATTTTAGTGATATCAACCTTCGTTGTTTCCTTCTGAGTTTCTGGCCAGAGCTTTATAAAGCAAGATCTGGTGTCTAGGGGTATCCAGGAGATTAAATGGGCTGAGAGGGGTAGTTGACACATAGTCACAAATCAGCTGACCACCTACTATGTGCCAGGTACTGTTCTAGGTCCTGGGGACCCCAAATATACAAACAAAATAATCCCTGACATCTAAAGGCTTGTTAATTGATTCTACAGGATTGAAACATGACAGATGAGTATATGTAACACAAATACAAAGTAATTTCAGTGATGGGGGAATGGAGGGAACCGTGGAGCAGTAAAACTAGACACTTGCCTTAGCAGAGGTGGGAAGAATTACACTTTAGGAAATGAGTCAAGTCAATAAGAATTTATGAAGCACCTACTCTGTGCCCAGCACTATGCTAAGTGCTAGGGACACAAAGAAAAGCAAAAACAGACCCAGCCCTCTGGGAGCTCCCAGTCAAATGAGAAAGACAACATGCAAACATCTACAAATGAGATTTCTGTAGGATTAATGGGAGATCCTCTGAGAGGGAAAACTAAGGAAGCTGAGCTGCCCATAATTTATGTGCTTCCCAGACTTGCTGGTTGTTTGATCATGGAAGAATCTTAGTCTGTTTCCTTCTCTGTGAAATGGAATGGAAATAACCATACCTTTCAGTGGTTGTGAGGGGCAAATGAGAAAAAAGTGTATAAAGGATTTTGAAAGGCTTAGAGTTCTAAAAATGTTAGCAATTATAATATATTTCATTTATTTATTTTTAACATTCATTTTTTAAAAATTTGAGTTCCAAATTCTCTCCCTTCCTCCCCCAGCCATTGAGAAGGCATACAATATGATAGCAATTATACATGTGGAGTCATGCAAAGCATAATTTCCATTTAATATGTTTTCTAAGAATAAAATAACTGGTTCAAAACAATCAGTCTTCACTGCAGGGAGGGGGTGGGAGTTGGGGAAAGCTAATGAGTCTTCCCCCCTCCCCAAAGCATGGCTGAACTTTTCATGAACTTGTACCTGAACTTGTCTATCTCACCTCAGATTTCCCAATAAATCACTAGGGCTAATTTGATAATAACAGCACCTCTCTCTCAGGGTTGTTTTGCCAATCAAATGAGATAATATTTGTAAAATGCTTTGTGAACCTTGAAAAGCTATTGAAGAGCAGCTAGGTGGCCTAGTGCATAGAATTCTGGACTTGGGGTCAAGGAGACATGAGTGTAAATCCTACCTCAGATGTTTACTAGCTAAATGTCTCTGGGCAAGGCATTTAACTTCAGAAACTCAGTCTCTTCATCTGCAAAATGGGGATAACAATAGCACCTACATTATAGGATTGTGAGGATCAAATGAGATAATAATTGTAAAGTGCTTTGCAACCCTTAAAGAGCCACATAAATGCTTATTATTGTTGTTGTTTTTCGTTATTAGCACTGAACCTGGAGGAAGATCCGAGTTCAAATCCTGCCACTAGTCTAGGTGTCTTTGGGCAATTCAATTAACCTTTAATCCTCAGTTTCCTCATCTGTAAAATGGGCATAATAATGGTGCCCGTTTAATAGGGTTGTTGTGAAGATCAAATGAGACACCATATAAAAAGTTCTTTGCCAACCTTAAAGCTTTCTCTCTATGCTAGCAATTATTATCATTATTATTTACCAGCTATTACTATTACTGCAAAGCTCAGAGTATAGAACAGCTTGTTTTTTCCACACTCGAAAGCTTGAAGCATAATTATATATAGAGCACTCTGTACTTTACTCTCTCGGGAGGTTTTTATTAACCTATTTCCTCATTTTGTCTCTAACGCTTCCTCATCGATGCCTCCTGTCTTCCATGTCCTCCAGAACCCAGCTCAAATCCCACTTTCTGCCAGAGACCTTTCCTGGAGCCTCTCCCTCTGCAGTTATTTTGTAACCAATCTACGTATCTTTATGTAGCTATTTCTGCGTCCGTTGTCTCCTTCGTTAGAATGGACAGGACTGTTTCATTTTCGTCTTTGTGCTCAGCACTTTTCCCAGCACACAGTCAGCACTTCATAAACGCTTGTTAACGGATGCTTGATATGACGTCATGACTAGCTAGCTACTCCCACCCGTACCTGAACAAGAATCCCTTCTATCACACACCCAGCAAGGGGTCAACCAGTCCGCGCTTCATGACCCGGCAGGGAGGGACACCCCTTCTCTCCCCCGCAACTCTTTCTGCCTTTGGACGGCTATTTGCTGGGAAGCTTTTCCTGAGTCTCAATCTGCCTGTTCCTCAATTTCAGGTCAAAGAACTAGAAACCACCTCGACGTCAGTGCAACACACAGAGTACAATCTGGAACCCAGCACCAAGTACGCGTTTCAAGCCCGATGTCGACAGCCTGGGAGGAGGTACGGGCGGGAGTGGAGCGTGCCCTTTTTCCACACAACCCCAGAAGCAGGTGAGCTCTTCAGGGGGTTTAATTCAGCTCCTTCTCCTTCACCTTTACGTCTGCCTTTGTTTTCTCTAGGAGGACCCATTACATGTTGAGTTTTCCGCTCCTCACTCTCTAGTTGGTAATCATTGCCAAAGATATTTTCAAGATTCCCAACATGCCACAGCAGATAGAGCCTTGGGCTTGCAATCAAGGTAGTCCAGGGCTTAGAATCTTATGTAAGATATTGAATTGCCATTTGACCCTAGACGAGTCACTTAACCTCTCTTAGCCTCAGTTTTCTCATCTGCCAAATGGACAGAAATTTTACAGCATTGTGGTGAGGACCAAGTTAGATTACATAGATTTTATAAACTGACTATATAAATATTATACAGATCTGGAGGTAGACATGCTCTTCAGGGCCATCTAGTTTCGTGTCTTCATTTTACAGACGAGGAAACTGAGGCCAGGGAAATTAAATGGCTTGCCCAAAGTTCCATAGGTGGTAAACATTACAGGCAGGTTTTGAACCTACTTTCTCTGACTCTACTGTACTACGCTCTCTAAATGTTATTAATATATTTTCCCACCTTTTGAAAATTAAAAAAAATCCTGCTATCTCACATGACAATAGTCATATTTTTAGTAAAATAGTAGAATCATAGCTTTAGAGAAAGAAGGAGCTTAGGAAAAACCAGCTACTTTAACTCCCTTATTTTATAGTAGAGGAAAGGAAGGTGGAGAGAGGTTAAGTGATGTTCCCCAGGTCACACAGATTGTAAGTGAAAAAATGGCATTTGAACTCATGTCCCTTAACTTCAAGATCAGCTCTCTCGTTGAGCAAGACGATATATGATGGCACAAAGCTCCTATGAAATCAGTAATGCTTTAAGTGAATTCGTGTTTTACTGATTACAACAGCATTGCCATGGATTTGAAAAACCCCAACAACCCCATGTACAAGACTTATTATCTGTTTCATCCACAACAGATATGTTCAGTTATTTATTTCATTGAGTCATTGTGCCCAACTTTGGAGCAAAAAAAGATCATGATGACATTGCTTAGTTCGCTTAGGGATGCTTGGATCCCTTGGAATAACTGGACGGATATAATTATACGGTATTCTGACAGTTGCCTCTCTGGATCTCAGTTTCCTTTTCTGTAAAATGAGGGAGATGGATGACCTCTAATTAGACCTTCTCAGCTCTAATGTTCTGTAATTCTGGTCTAAACTAAGAACCTCAGGCTTTTGAGGGAAGACAAGGATGAGTTGAAATGTCTTGAGCGACCTCTGCTGCCCACATCTTAGAAAGGCAGTCTTGAAGACAAAATATAGTGCCTGGCTGTTTTATCTAGTGTTAAATCATCATCTCACACACCTTTTGATCTTCTTTCACGTAATCGACAATCACACTCTGGTCCAGTCACATTCTGGCTTAGTTACATCGGCCTGCTGGCCGTGCACCATCCTTGACGTGGCATTTCCCATGTCCCTGACTCTGGACCAAGCGTCCTTCCTCCATGCTTGGAATATGTTCCCTCCTCACTTCTGTCTCCCAGAGCCCCTTGATTCCATCAAAGGACAGCCCAACTGGCACCTCCTACTTGAGACCTTTCCTGTTCCCCTTCAGTTATTAATAATCTCTCCCTTTGGAAATTATTTTAAATTTTGTATTTTCTTATCTCTGTTTATATTATATCAACCAGTGGAATGTAAGCTGTTTAAGGGCAAACTGTTTTGTTTATGTCTTTGTGTCTGCACCAGCCAGCATAGTGATTTACACACATTAGATGCTTAATGAACATTTGTTGAATTCAATTATCCTTGATTTTCAGACTCTATGTTTCCTTGGCCCATTCTAGTCTTGAGGTCCCAAACCCTAAGAATGGAAGCTAACTTGGAATGGCCATTCTTTAGGCTGGTGACAGCCACCCTTTTTTTGATCTAATCAAAAAAATTTCTGCGTTCACCTCCAATTTATGTATATTTACCTACAAATTATATAGGTACCATTTTCCTCACACAGTTCCTTGTATATATTATAAAACATACACAAAATATACATTTAAAAGGGGGAATATAAAGTTAAAAACAATACTTTAATTTTTTATTGATTAACGGCATAAAAATGGCACGATGTAATTGAATAGACATTGTGTTTGAAAAATCCCATGTACATCCTGGGGGACAGGCTGGATATGGAAATATTCAAATAAATAATAAAATAACTTAACATAAAATGATATAACATAATATTATGTATAACACATTAATAAATAAATAATGATTATTCCGTTAATTTGATGCTGGTATGCAAAGGGTCTGGAACTTAAGCGCATGTGTGTTGGCTTGGCTTGGCTTGACTGGATCAGTTTAGCTAACCAAGAGAGGAGAATCTCTCTCTCTCTCTCAACATTTTAGATACTTTTAATGTTGAAGAATAGCCAATATTCAAGTCATAGTTCATAAATCAGTGACCATCACAGCCTTTAGGGTTTTCTCTGTGTGTGAATATCCCCATAATGTACTGCAAAAACAGCAAGTGATATTTCTGATTGCAACTCAGCCAAATATTTTCAGCATAAATCAATCCATGCCTCATACATGGTTCTGATTCATTGGACCTTAATTTCCTTTCTGACATTCAGCTACATTAGCTATATTTCTGTATGATCCCAGCATTGTATGTTTGGAGCTGGGAAGGACCTTTGAGGTCAGCTAGCCCAACCCCTGAATTTTACAGGCAAGAAACGGAAGAGGCTTCCTCAAAGTCAGTCAGCTATGGGGCAGAGCCAGCCAGGCATTCAAATCCAGCGAGGCAGACTCCAGATCCAGCATCTTCTCCATGTAGCAGACTAACTCCTGAGGGTGAGGGGCAGTGAGCAGAGAACTTTGGCTGGACCTCGGAGTGCAGGGAGGGAAATAGGTGACAAAAAGAGGAATTTATATTGGTCCTTGAGGAAAGAGGGGGTGCAGGGCCAAAGAAGAAGGCTCTGTTCCTGAAGGCATGAGAGAACAGGTACCTTACGCTGGGGAACAGCATCACTGGGTACCACTCCCTCTACTGTACCCAGTTCCATGGGCAAGCTGGTGACTCAGACATACAATACAGATTACATGCCCTCCCACCCAAGCCCCAAAGCCACTTGGCTGGGCCTCTAACTTTTCACAGTTTTAGACAAAGAGTTAATGCAGTTTACTAAGGGCCAACTCATTTATAAAGAAACTCTGGCAAGAAAACAGGAAAGTCTGCTGGCATAATTGAATTGGCTGATCTCTCATTTAGGAACATGGTTTTTTTTCTTTTGTTGTTGATGTCTTTTTTTTTTTAATAACATTCAATTCCAAATATGCCCCCCCATTCACCCAGAAAGCCTTCCCCTTTAATAAGGATTTAAAATAGAAACACACACACAGAGTTCAGTAAATCCAATCAACACACTAGACAACGTAGGCAACATTCTGCACACTTAGGCCCCCACCTCTTCAGTAAAGCGTTCTTACCCTTTTTTTTGGTCATGCACCCAGTCTTTGGCAGTTCAGCGGAACCCATGGACCTCTTGTCAGAATAATGTCTTTAAATACATAAATAAAATAGAGGACCACAAAGTAAGCCAATTATACTGAAATCATTACCAAAAAAATTTTTTTTAAAAAAGTTTATGGCCCCCAGTTTAAGAATCCCTGTTATACTATATATTCCCCCCTCTACTATCAAATGCTACTCTTAAGAATTTACAACTTCATTCATACTAAGGTGTGAATGACTAAGAACTCCAAACCTCAAAAAACTCTTATCAAGCACCATCTACATGTGAGTCACGGAGCTGTGTGTGCAAAATTCGGAACAGTTCTTGACTCAGAGAGCTGGCATTTGTCCCACTGAGGAATGACATAACACACCCATGGTACAAGGGAAAGGGCACAGAATAGCTTCCTCTGTGCAGTGTTGGGCAAATCACTCCCTCCTCTCTGGGCTTCTGCCCTTCTTCTCCGGAAGGAGGGAGGAGAGGATCTCTAACGTCCTATCTGGCTTTAAATTTGCAAATAAATACAAGGTAACTTCTGGAAGGAGAAAGTAACCCTTTAGGGGGCAGAGGAGGCTTAGCCGAGGGCGTGGCTCCGGAGCTGGGCTTTGAAAGAAGATAAGGATTCTGGAAGGTAGTGTTAAGGAAGGAGTCCGGTGGGGGGGGAGGGGGAAATCTGTCCAGAGATGGAATGTGGACCATGGGAAACACCGCGAGCCCAGCTCGGCTGGAACATTGAGTTTCAGGGCACTAAGAGCTGACATTTACAGAGCCCTTTAAGATTTGCTGTAAGTTTCACAGGCTGTTTCACTGGATGTCTGCAACCAGCCCCTTGGTTTGGAAGGAAGGGGGTTATAAGCCACATTTTATAGATGAGGAAATTGAGATTCTCAAAGGTGAGGTGACTCACCCAGGACAATGCAGATAGCTGGAATCAGGTGGGATTGAAGCTTGGATTTTTTTTTTTTTCATTCCAAATCTAGCATGCTCTACCCACTAGTACTTTAAAGCTACTGAATCTGTAGATAGATTTCAGGGGGCCTGGGAACTTGGATGGGAAAAAAAGTGCTCGTTTTTGACACAGAAAAGGCTAAGAACCCCGACTTTAAGGAGTATTTGCATTTTAATAGGAGACTAAGTCTGAAACAAAAATAAAATTAATCTCTAATTGTATATTTTTTAGGCATTGGCAAACTCATGGGATATTTGGGGGCCAGAGTCCTCTTTATAGCCATTCCTGAAATAATACCAAATACGGGATATTAGAAACATTCATAATCAAGTTACCTGGCGCCCCCCCTCCAGTTTTATTTTTTCTTTTCTCAAATGTTGTTGATTTTTTTTCTATTCTGACATCATTTCCCCTTTGACACCACATAACCATTTCTCTCTCCCACCCTGCAATCCTGACTTATAACAAATAAGTACAGCCAAGCAAGAAAAAATCCACACATTGACGGTATCGGAACACGTATACTACATTCTGTCCCTGT